ATGGATCATATCTTTTCCCTTTTCAGAAAGGAGGAGTGATTTGGGCCATCTTTCTTCCTATTCAGTCATAGAGCCTCCCTGAGGAGTTTGCTTACATACTGAAGCAAAAATTGAAAATATTTACATCTATTTAGCTGGCAGTAGTATGATAGATGCATTTCCTGTCTTCCTCAGTATAAGCATTTCCTTCTTTCTTTTTCAATCTTCTCATTCCTTTTTTTTTTTTTTTTCCCTTCTTCTCTTGTTTAGTTTTTCCTTAGCTGGAATTAGAAAAACAGACAATATCATATAATCAGTTCATGTAGTTCTTTTGAACCAAAGTTTGGAAACTTGTAATAGAACTATTGTAAAAGTTGCTTGAACTTCTGCTGCAGTGTTTTCTCAACCGCGTTACACTCCTGCCAAAAGTTCCAGTCATGCAAAGAGAGGAAGGTTCCTCAGCTCTTTGCGTTTCCATAGTCTCCTGTGCCCAGGGGGATGCTGCCTGACAAATGCCATGAGCATGACTCAGATGTGCAGACACGTTTTTCAGTCCTCTGCTGTTTCTGGTACATAGGCAGCGGCTACTATGCATGTTTGCTCAGTTAATGACCTCTCTTGTGTTGTGGCTCTACAAGGATAGCTAGAGAAGGGTGAAAAGAACTGCATGGACAGACCCACCAGGGCTGTTCTCCCATGCTTCTATGTGAACAGATAGTATTTGCAGTGAGGCTGAAGAACTGTAACGGAGGGGAGAATTCATACAGGCACTTACTTTCTCATCCATCTCTCTAGTAGAGATCTTTGCCAAATGGGAAGGCAGACTTGGTTTATGGTTTTAATTCAGGGTTTTTCCCTCTCCAGTGTGGTTATATGCTTCACAAGGCCATGAAAGTGGCATTTTATTAGGCTATAAATGCTGTATAGATCTGTGACCCCTTGATATTAATTAAATACACTCCACGTTCTGTGGCTCTGCCTTCACTAGCATCTTTGGAGCAGTACTGCAGTTTTGAAGCAGATCCCACAACCATCTCTCTTACTGTGCAGTGGTTCAGTTCAGATACTGGTTTTGAAATGTAGTTCCTGGACATCTTTCAGGGGAAAATAAACTGAAAGCTTTATGCCAGGTGTCTGCCAAATGCACTATAGCACGTAGCCAGGGGCATAAGGGTCCAAGCTAAAAATTTGTCCTACGGCCAACTGTGATCCACGTAGGTGTTGGTTACCGCTGGCCCAGGGAGCCTGACTGAATCCTATCTGAAGTAAAATACTCCAGAACCTCCAGTGTAAACACAAGGATCTCGGCATCAGCTGCTCTGATCCTAATGATGTGGGGTTTTTTTCTTTTATTGCTAACTAATATTATTTAATTATGACTTCACAATAACCGCTATGTTGTAAGTGTTTTTTATCTCAGGTTATTAAATAGCATCTCTTGTTCATTCTTTCAGTCTTCTGACATATGCCAGTACATATCTTTCATCTGCCATCGAATACAATAGTAACAACAAGAGAATTCGGTCTTCAGAGAAGATGATGTCAAACAGTTACAGCTTTTCAGTTTTTACAACCCACAATGTAAATTCCACATAGAAGGCTAAGAGACCAAGTATATTTGTTCCTCAAATTAAATTCAGTAATTCAAATTCATAAGCTTAGTTGTGGGCATTATTTTAGTAGCCTGATCACTGAATTTAGTACTTATGTCTTCTAGATTCATTTAGATTGCACTCCTATGAGGTTGACATGCTATCGCTGACAAAGGCATGATAAAGGAATTTAACCTGGTGAAACTTTCATATTTGGGATTTTAAAAAGATACTTGTTTGTCAAAAGCAAATAGATGGAAAAATCTTGTTCCTTTTTTTCTAAATCTTCTGAAGGCAGCTGGTGCTCTAACTGGACCAAACTGGAAAACTGATGGCCACAGAATCAGAAAACTTAGGCAAAAATTGTGTCCCTGTCCACTGGAGAAGAGTTGTTCGTTGTTGTTTTTAAGGCAAGAGTCCATTTTCTTTTTAGTGGAATAAGTTAATTGCTTCCTTTACCTTTTTGCAGACACATGTTTAAAATTTGCAATGTTTACAGTTGTTGACTTTGCATTGTAACTTTCATTCTTTAAGATTTGTTATTTAAATGAGCTTATCCTGTGCAAAATCTGCCCCAAATTTAAGGGCCCATAGTGTCATCTAATTATATCTATGGAATGTAAGCTCTTGTAATGCCTCATGTTCTAGTAATTTTTCTGGCTGCTTTTGCAGAATGTGTGTTCAGTAGCTCTATTTCTTCTATTTGGAAATAAATATAATTAGAGAAGAAGAGATTTCTTGATTGAACGTAGAAATTTATGCAACACTGTATTAAGTATATTATGGTCAAATATGGAGGAGATGCTTTTTCATGCATTTCCATGGGTTGCTTTTGCTGCAGAACTGTCTCACATCCAAAAGCAGTGTGATTTTTACAGAGCTGACTTTGTTAGAAATAAGTGTAGTTTTACACCGCACACCTCCAGCAACAGCTTTATAAAGCATGAAGTTTTAAAATCTGCTTTATGGAAAAGCAACCTGTGAATCTTTCAGAAATTCAAAGCAAATTTAGATATCTAAAGTGATGTCAGCTTGGAGAGCTTTGTGAGACAGCAGAATGGCAGAGAGCAGCCTTATTCCAACATTTTGTTTTGAATCATACCTAAGACAGGCTTATAATTATGAGCGCACTGGCAATGGCAACATGTATAACCTGGAGAAACCAGATGAATAAAAATGTCCAGGGACAGGTTTAAAGTAGAATTCCCACTTCTAGTTTTGCATAGCTGCCTGACTCAATATGCAGCTAGAGAGAAGGAGAGGAACAAACGCTGAATGATGCGAGGTGGCAGCTACAATTGGCTTACGAGAAGTGTTTTGCCTGCGGCGCCCTAGATCATGAACTTTATCACATCCAAGAAACGTTAACAGCTTTGCCCCTCGGGCTTTAGTAGTTCTGAGCATCTTTGTGGTTTTGGTAGTTGACAGCTCAGTCCTCGGCAGGCCGCGCTGGTTGCCCCTTCCAGATGAGTCAGACGCATCAGGCCTTCAGCCTGCCCTTCTTTTACAACAACACCATGGTGGGTGCTTGAGTGACGTTTTAATTTGATAATGAAAGCACCATTAAGGCAGACAAGAGAGAAATGCCTTGTGTCTTGTGGCATAAGGTATTTTGTGGGATCTCTGAGGTCACTTGGGAACGGCCTGCTATTGAAATAGTTACACAAGTTTGCCAGCAGTGACTCACCGCTGTGGTGGTTACAGACAAATTCCAGTTACTCTGAACTTCTTGATGAAGGTTTTAGTATTGGTGATGTGTCTATCCTGTTTAAATGCTAAAAATCCAGTAATATTTAAGTTCTCTTGATAAGGGCCTCATTTCCCTGCATGTCTTCATCTCTGAAATGCTGGGGTGTAGCAGTGAGCTGTGATCAGTGCATATGTGATCCCCATCGACCGTATTAGAAGGGGATATATTCTAGCACTGTTAAAATGTTCTGGGTTATGAAAAGCATAGTAATGCTTGTGCAGGATTTCTACTTGTCTCTCTGGGGTACACAAGTTGCTTGATGTCTCTAAGCTACTTGAGAACTTCTCATGTTGTAAGATACTAATGAACAAAAAGCCAAAGTATTGTGTTAATGTTTCAGTAAGTAGTGTTAAATTCTGTTCTGTCAGTAATGGCAGTCCTTTCCTTGCTGTGGCTATTTATAAGATCCTTATTGGAGTCAAAACCACAAATCATTCGCAGCAAATCTTTGAGATTCCAGGCCCTAACTTCTTAGGAACTTGCTAATCTCCCTTGTTTAGAAATACGTATTGTAATATCATCTATGGAAACCAAACAAATGGGTTCCTGTTGTGCTTGACAATGCATTACATCTGTATCTCTCCTATGTATTTAGAGAAATATAATCTCTGCTATAAATAAATGACACTATACAGAGTCAAATATATTGCTCTGTTGAAATATTTGACCAAAATCATACAGGAAACCTTTAACAGAACTAGAAGTGGATTCATGTCATTTTAAGCTTCTTCCAGGACTTTTTGTGTATAAAAGTCTTAAGATATGGAAATCCCAACCTAAAATAACTTTTTATTTTGTTTTGTTTACATTCTTTTCTAGGTATTGAAAGCTTAGATGACTACTGAACAGAAATAGGCTACTCTTTTTGAGTGGTATAGACTTAGGAGTTTTTGCAGTGCGTGTGGATAATCATAAAGCTAAGCGTCCAGCTCAGCAGCTCCCTGGATCTGCCTCTTTATTCAGCAGAAGTTTGCTAGATTGCTGGAAGCTGATATTGTAGCACATGTTGGCGTATTTGGAAAAGAAAGCATGATTGTGATAGCAATGGCCTCTCTGAAACAATTTTGTGGTTTTTCTGAGTGGATCTACATTATGTACTTCATTTGTTTGTTAATGTTGA